GGAAGAGCAAGAGCTTCCTGCAGCTATTGCTGCGCCTCAGAAAAAGCATATGTATTCTGTTTTAAGAAAAGTGACTCATAGGTTATTCTTTCCCTCTCTGCGAATGTCAGAGAGAATAGAAAAGTGACATGTTCAAATATTTTGGCTATGTACTGAAGCGTTTTGTTGGGCTGCGATAAAGGAACTATGCTGCCTGCGCACTGTGTGTGACAGCTAGGCGGTGTTACGGGATGTATGTATTTTCACGCTGTAACGTTTTTGGGTCAGTACTGGCGGCGTGCCCGTATCTCTTCACATGAAAAGGTCATTCTTCACGTGCAGAGGTGAGAGATGGAGCTTAACGCAGAGAAGATTGAGAAGCTTTATCTTTTATTGTTTTCCGAACCAGAAAGCAGTGAGCCGCAGTCTGTCCTTTCTGATTATGGTCTCTTTAAAGGTGCGCATCCCTTCACAGAAGGGCTGGGCATGGCTTTCCTCTGCAGCTGGGAAACATGTTCCAGTTTGCAGCCATCCATTCAGTGAAAACTAGGTAATTGCTTGTAGGTTGGTTCATTTCAAAACCTCAAGACATGACCTCTTATTTTTCAGTCAGTTGCTTTTTCTGGAAGCGTTAACATCAATCTGACCCTTCTCTTTAGGATTTAGTTCTCGTCAACAAGATTTCCACTCGATCTCTGTTTTTTGCCTTGCTAGAAGCCATCTCCTCATCTTTTGTCATATGACTCTGTCTCCAACCTCTGAATACTTTTGGTTGCCTTTGTTGCACTTCTAAAGTCTTGGCGAAGTTCTTTTGTTCATCAGGGTTTTTAGCAGACCGAAATATTATGTTAATGACACAGGTACCCCTGCTGGGAGAAGTCAAACGTCCTGCGTGTTTGAGTTAGCTAGTGACGGACAGTGAGACAGTATTTTCCCTTCATTTTTCTTTGCTACTTGACACTAAATTTATAACGGAGATTTTATTTCTGCTTGTACTGTTTCATTGCTGCAAGGTTACATCGGAGAAGGGTTTTCCCTCGTCGTTCATGCGCTAACGGCTCTGAGAAGATCTAAAAGGAAGTTTTCCCTTGCACAGTTGCTCTCATTCCTGCCTTTATGTTATCATTGCTACGGTTTTCTGGTCTCTGCCTTTTATTTGTTCCTTGGGGTGGTCGTTATCCTACCGCCGGCCCGGATCACTTGTTTTCGCTGTTGCTGAGATTCTTTCGGAAGTCTGTTCGTGTGAGTTGTCTTGTTACGTGGTCAGAACCTTTACTCCTTTCGGTGCTTCAAGGGTCAGGCGCTTTGGCTCCCTGCTAGATTTTCTTAGGAGGGATAATCTTTGCAGGTCACCGTTGTGTGCCATAATCTCATTTTATATGTATTTAAACTTTTGAAATTCTTGTGTTCTGACTCTGGACTTTCAGATGAGTTTACATTTGATGCATGAAAGAAGTATATTCAGTAAGGTGTAGGTTCGCTATGTAGAGTGTTAGCTGACTGGCTTAGCCTGCTGCATTAGCTAGCTTTCACATTATATGATTTAAAATAGTATATGTAAGGAGTAAGTTTAATGTGTACTGACTTTCATACAGTGAAAAGTCATCTTTCTCTGGATTTATGGGAGTTGGGGATGCGCTCTAATACAAAGATGATCTTCTCTGAAGGGAAAAGATTTCATGTGTTGTATTGTACCCTTTATTTCTTCATTATTTACATGAGCAATGGCAGTCTTTTACCTGGAGGAAGAAATATTTGGTCAAGATTTTGGTCGATTTATAAAGTTTGAGTTCTGGTTATTCGATGTGCTTTCTTATTTATGATAAAGATCAGTTTAATTAACAGAACTCCATTTGATTTCTTTTTTTATGATTATGTCTCCATTAATCGCATAGTTTCTGGGAGAGGTGAAAATTACTTTCTGGAATTAGTGTCCTTGGAGGTAATAGGTACGGCAGATCTACTCAGCTTGCTTTCCTCCTCCGTGGGAGTTACCCTGTCTTTTTCTTGTTGAATGCCTACAATTAAAACCTAAATGGACAGCTGAGACCTGTGTCCATGGGTCAGGTGACTGAACTCTCAGGACACTCTGGTTTTAGTACCTTCTGCCAAGGTTGTTACAGATTAAGGGGGTTTAATATAACTGAATATTGGTTTTCTTAGAGATGTGTGTCCCCACAATGGCTTGGGCCTACCAATTGGAGGGATACGTGTTGCTGGTACATCTCAGACAAGAGGAAAGAAGCAAGGAAGTAACAGTATGAGTTAACATTGAGGTATTCCTGGGCAAGGTGGTAGCTCGTGGATTTAATAAACCACGAGTCGCCTTTTAAGCCTTCGTGCATACTTTGGGCAATTATGGCTAATCAGTAAGTTTTATGTATCAATGAAATATAACTAGAAAAATTTAAGAAGACAGTCAGAAATGGCACTTACGTGATACAGTTTTTGAAGAACCTTCGTTTAGTTAAATGCACTGCAAGCTAGGTAAGGGTTGCGATGCCTTCATATATTTGCATCTGTATGACTGGCTGACTTTGATGGATTGCTCAAACAGTAACATATCTTTACAAAATCTAAAAAGCTATTTTTCTAATTTTATGTATCTAAAGATTGTAGAGGCTGTGAAACGCACCAAATAATTTAAAATACAGATATTGAGAAAATGACAAATGAAAAATAATATTAACTGCTGTTTATCCTTTGCCTCCTGTCGTGATCTTTCTCTTACGCCCACGCTTGGGATTTTTAGAGCTACTTAAGTAAGCGACGTTGTCTTGCCTGCGTTCGCGTCCTCCCTTTGTGAGCCTCCTGCGCCTGTTCCCTTCCAGGATGCTGTTGGAAAGTGGCTAGACCCAAGCCATGCCGCCTTCTTCCTGTTCTAGGGTAGAGTGTTTCCATATGACCTAGGGAATGAAGCTAAGGCGTATTTGGTGTTTTACTTTATAAGAAGAGGCAGGTAAGCAGTCAGTTTCCAGTAGTGCGATTCACTGCTGTAGAAGAGAGAAGCCCGACTGATAGGGAACTTATTTTAGAAAAGCTACTTGAACGGGTTCATTAGGTTAAGCCTAAGACAAATGAAAGCATGTGTTTCGTAATAGTTGACGTTAGAAGCTTCTGAACCCTTACTGAAGAGTCTTGTGTGCTAGTATTTATGTAAAGAAATAAAATAAATCAAGGGCAAACATATTTACATTGGTTTCAGAAAAGCGCTCTCTTTACAGAAAGCAAGGCCTCTGAAGAAAGTTATTCTGCCATGCACGTCAGCAATTATGACATAAAATGAAGTCCTATAATTTCTTTCCTTAATCAGCGTTTCTTTCCTATATATTTTTCTCTCTCTACCACAAGATACGAGATTTAAAAATCTTCAGTTAGCCTCACTATTTTCCAGTGCATCTTCAGAAATAGTGAGTTTTTAGATGACGTGTAGAATATATGATACTTTCAGTTAACTGCAATACTGGATTTGTGAACGGCCTTAGCTGTCGCCTCATTCTTATCACACACAGCTGCATTTTTCTTTATTGCAATTCTTCTTAATTTAGGCTCATTTAACCTAATTTCTTTTCAGTGAAAGTAATACTGTGGTTCTGCTGTTCACTGGACACTATGAGCTTCTTATCTTGGGATCTTCCAGCTACACTCATGGTGTTAGGTGTGTTGAATTACCCGGGGGTTAGGTATGATATCTCGACAGAGTTACAGTGCTTATATTTGGAAGATAGTGGAGGACTGTAAGAGAAGGGTCAGGTAGGAGTCAGGCAGAAAAGCACTCCTCTGTGTGATCAGAGGACAAGCTTAGAGAAACCCAGTACGCCTCTCTTGAACCCCTCACAGGATAAACGGGGCATTTTTTAGGGAATATGGTTCTTCTCCTGACTGATGGTAGTTAGGTGGCAGATAGGTTTGGTCTGTGGACTTAAAAATGGTTTAAAAAAAAAAAAAAGAACATAGTGCAAACAAAAAGGGTGAAGATGTTATCAAGGACAAAGAGTTTATAACATTTAACAGATGTGATTTTAATTGTGTGGCATCAGCTTAGCGCTTTACTGGAGGACATTTGTAGATAATGCTAAGGCAAATGCAGCATATGGGTATAGAGGTAAGGCTCTATTTGCATCTTTCATTCATTTTAGTTTCCTTGTTTTCAAAAGTTTCATTTGAGGATAAGTGCAACGCCACTTTAGCATCAGCTAAGTTATTTACTTTTAAAGTATTTTTATAGAAAGAGAAAAGCTGTGTGAGAGATGGGATGGCTCCTGAAACAGTTGCAAGTACAATGTTGGTTTTCAGGAGAGATGCTTCTGTGGCTGAGTAGAAATACGCCTGACTTGGGCTGCTTCTGCTGGCCGTAGCGCTGTTCCTTGCAGCAGTGTGCACTGGCGCGTGTAGCCGCTGAGTGAATTCACAGAAATAATGATGCTTCTGATGTTTTATTAGAAGGTTGTTGTAGAAAGTTTAGCAATGAGAAAGAAGGCTGGTATGCTCCTGCCATTTTATATTTTTAACGGCATGTCTCCTCAATATGTATGATCTGCAGTTTCCTGTTGTACCTCCTTCTCTTCATCTCGTAAAGCTATAAGCATTTTTGGATGACCATGAATGTGTTTGAACTGGCTCCTTACTATCTGATGTCCTCTGCTCCCGTGTACGTGTCTCACCAGAAGCAGCGCGCTGGGAGCCTTAGACTTCAAGACTAGGTCTGCTGGGCAGTGCAGTGGCCATGGCCTCAGACCCTTTCTGTGCCTTCAAACCAGCTTCCTTCCCAACAGGAGCATTTCTAGCATAGTCAAGCCTCCACAGCTGCAGCCCTAGCCGCTCGTATTTGCTGTTATTCCTAACTCCCTACCATCAGCCAGTTTTCCCAGCTCCCACACAGTTGGCATGTATCTTAATGTATTTATTTTGTGGTCTTCCAAAAGGAAAATGGACTTTTTCTTTGAAATCAGTGCAGATCCTGTCTTGGGTGCAGGAAAAAGGGGTCTGATCAGCCTCCTTATGTTCAACTTCTATTGCAGAGTGAGGCTGTAGGAGAGCTAAAGAAATGGGCACGGACCAGTTCCCAGAGGAGACCGAACGGGTGCACAGGATCAGTGGTGAGCAAAAATACTGTTACCTCCCCCCGAAACTGGAGCACTAAATGTGTTTCTGGTTGTAGAGCTTAAATCATTACCATACCATATTCAGATAGCATTTGTTTCCCAGATGCATAGCTAGCGCTGTACTCTGGGAGGGGAAAACAGCAAACGAGTGAGGCCGTGTAGTTCATAAACAGCCTTGTTCTCCGTCTTCATGGTAGAGGCGGAACTAGAGCCTCCTTACGAAGTTGCTAAATTCAAAAGGATCGCGCAAGTGATGAATAATAATACCATTAGCATGGAGAGAAGCAAAAGTTTGCTCCAAAATTGACTGGATACTTTCATTTACTTCTCTTTGAAGAGTGCCTCCAAACGGAAAGGTATCTTTATAGCTAATGCAAATAAAAGGGGGCTGAAAGAAAGTAAGTATGAATGTACGGTATGTCATAAAAGCCTTAATTGTCCCTGAAATTGTTGCACCTGATAGAAGACTACAAGCAAGATACTAACAAAGGTAGGTCCCGGTTACGCTGAGAGTAAATGTGAAGGAAGTGTGTGAAATTAAGCGATAGCTGTGAGCCAAACTGTTTGAAGTGACTGTTTGCAGAGATGGGCATCCCACTGCAGGGAAAGCAGTACTTGTGAGTATTTGTTTTAAAAAAAAAAAAAAAAAAAAAGGAAAAAAGAAAGGAAATCTATACTGTATGGCTGAAGTATGCACTTTTATACTTGCTCTTCCAAAGTTATATGTATCTAACAAAGCTTGCAGAGTTCACCAGGAAAAAAAGCAAGATTTACTACCAATTTAACATGACATATGGCCACCTGCCACTTCTCTGAAAATTTATGTTTTAGTTAACAGATAGAACTGTCATCCTTGGCTTTCAGCATGAAAAGCACAGTCTTTGGGAAAAGAGCGTAACCCTCACAAATTGCAGGCCATCTAAGAATAAAATCTCAAGATTTTATGTGATTTGGCATATATAGCAAGTTGAGTTGTCTAATAAACTGTAGCTGTTCATCATCTACTTTGGAAGTCTGAAGTTTAGTAGGTAGTCATATAGTATGTCTTTTGGTACCTGGACATGCTCAGGAGAAAAAAAAAAAAAAAAAAGGGATTTTGGAAGGGTAAAAGGATTATGACTTGATTTATTTGGCAACAAAATTGACTATAAAACTACTTTTAGTATGCTCAGGAGACTAAGGCATAGAGATGTCATATTGAATAATAACATCAGGATAATATCAAGGTCTTTGGTCATCTTACTGATTTCACACAGGCGAAGCCACAGATATAAAACACTTGATACCAGAGGAATAGGACACCTCATGTGGATAATAAACACCTAGGAAAATTAATGATCTGTCTGGCTAAAAAGATAAGGCCCGAGTCACAAGAAGCGAGAGCATTGGAGAGCGAGTTGGCTACAAGCATTTAACTGTTTTAGTGCTGCCTAAAGTATCACTCATATCAACTAAAACATGGTTTATGCACAATGTATTGCTAAATAAGTGCCAGTGCTCCATCAGAGGAATGCCCTCTGCTGGGTACTGATTGCAGCCTGATTGCAGTACTTAATGAAAAAAGTGCATGCATTATGAGCTTCCTTTTCCCTACTACACGTTTTTATGCCAAAGTTAGAAATGAGGTTTTTTTTATAATCAGTAGTACCTAGCTGCAGATATCTGAATCTGTCTGTGGTCAGTGATGCACTGAGGACCTACTTTTCCAAAGTAGTCAGTAACTGAGGTGTCCTTATATTTGTTTAGCTCCACTGAGGTGCGCAAGGGTTTTGTTTCAGAGTTGGTGGTCACGGAGAGCTCCCAGTCACGTTGTCAGGAGCTTTGGACACTCAGCTGTGGTGTCACTAGCCCAGGGGGCCGGAAAGGGGGGGGGGGGGGGTGTCCTTTCTGTGTGCCTGTGGTTGTGAATAATGAACCAGTCCTCGGGAGAGAGGACCAAAACATAGTCCTGTTGCCAAAATATAGGCGAAGCAGGTGTGCACGCACTCTGACACTGGGGGTGGAACGCATATGGCTTTCTGTCTCCCCTGAGAAAAAAAATGGCTGAACCGGTTTCAGGGTGACGTGGGTGAGGAGAAGGCCACAGGCGCAGATTTTCCAGGTCTGAACAAAGTATTATCTCAGTAGCTGAAACGCTCTAAGAGCTCAAAGCAAATGAGAAAAAGAGTTGGATTAGAAATGTATGGGCAACCTGAAGTCACTGTCACCTCCACTGAAATTAATGGCATGCATTTTATTAGAGGTGTGTGACGTTGGATTTTAAGAAAAAAATTTTCCATGACGTTTGAACGTTCTGATGTTCCTAATACTGAATTCTGCAGAAGGAAAATTTATCAAACGCTCCAACGTTTGCATTTTTAATGCCTCATTACATTTTATGAGTTACAGTACTGTTTTCACATTTTTTATTGTTTTTTTGTTTGTACATGTATAGCCATAACAACAAAAGCTGCAGTCTACTGTTCTGTGTTTCTCGCAGAGAAACTTCTCAAGAATAGCCAGGAACTGTTACCCCAAAGTTCTGACCGTAAAGTTTTTATCAAATTGCTTGAGAAAAACAACAAAAAAGACGTATGCCTGTACATGATAGATTTTGTTGGAGTGTGAACACAAGCAAGTGATGCAAGTACCAATGCACCTTGTCAGTTGATACTTTTAAGAAGGCCCTGGCAAATTTCCACTCTAGGAAACAGCAAGTAAGATAGCTTTTGGACAAGAAAAGAGAAAAAGAGATAGTCTCCCCTATCAAATAAAGCGATCTCTTGCTAGCTGTTTTCTACTGGCTTCTACAAAGGAGCAAACCACAAAACTAACTGAGTTAACAAAACATTCAAGAACATAATGGGAGGGGGGTGTAGGATGTTCATAGTTAGGCGAGAAAAGGCAGTATGTCGATCAGTCGTGTTGGAAGTTTGTGAACTCGATCAGGGAGGTGGATGAGAGATCTTGAACTGACTCTGTTGTCAAGGGACCTAGTTTAGGAATTGTTCCATTTTCCTTTATTTTGTAAGCGCCAGGTCAGGGTAAATCACTTTTTGTTGTGGAGACTTGCGTGTACAAACTATATAAATGCTAATTGGCCTTAGAATTTGCTAAAATACTTGAATTACTGAGAGTGGTCCAAGATTTGCTTGAACAATTGAAATCCCTGCAATGCGCTCCAGTCGTTTCCGTTGTGCGTACTCTAGAATCATTTCATTTCTTTTTAAACTTTTAGAGAACCAGTAGTGATTGTGAGAGCGAGTTCAATTCCTTCATTTTATTGGGATAGGGGAAAGCTTTTGCCATTAGTTCTTGATTAAATTACGGGGTCACAGAACATGTAGCAAAAAAAGAAGAAAAAGGGAGGGGGGGGGAAGAAAAAGTAAGCCTTGTCTCCCAAAGCCCCAAGTCCATATGTGCATATTCTTTCTTGTCTCTTGGTTGAGTATGACTCCTGAAACACAGCATTTTCATGAGCAATCCTGTCTAAACAGAATATGTGGTTTAGACGGAGGGATGAAGCTGGCCAGCGTTGCCTGTACTTTCAGACGTGGACTTTTTCTAACAACACAGCTTTCCTCCTTGCAAACTTTGTGTTAGCAGGCATCGCAGTGGGAGTGAGCTGCTGTTCATTGTGTTACATGTTGGTTTAATTGTTTAAAAGCAAACAAGCAATGCTCTTCAAGTTGTTAAATGGGGGTGCGTTCCGGAGGTTACGATTTGTGTATTTAAGTACTAAACCTGTGTCCTCGTTGAACTCCTCCTTTTTATTGTGGCAGGCATATACTAGCTCATGTGTCTATGGATTCAATTTTCGTCCAGTCTTCTGGTTTAAAAAAAAAAAAAACCAACCAAAGAAAGAAAGAAGGGTTAAAGGAGTCTCTTGAACTTACACGCCAAGAAATGAACTGCAAATCTTTGATGCTATAGAGAGTTAAGAAGATTGTTACGTGGCCTGCTCAGACAACTTATCTGTATGTATATATGTGTGGTTGTTGCAGATAATGCAGCTGCTAGTGGAAGAAGAGTTTTGAAATGCTCATTCATTTCTTTAGGCAGAAGGTGATGCTTTACATAGCATGACCGAGTTCTCCAAGGAAAGTATCTCAGATAAAAACAAGCAGGGATACTAAATCTCTGCAGATAGCAAGATGAGCTGATTCTTGCCATCTTAAAAAAGCAGAAATCTTGAGTGTGTCTGGACTGTGTATTTGGGAAGACGCTGATCCCTCTGCTCCAAACCTGTCAGATGTCAAAGTGCTTTGAATTTGAAGTGGAGTAGCTGCATCTTCAGCTGCTTTATATCACCAAAGGGGCCCTGAGTTGAGCCCAGCTGTGTTGATCTTGCTCTAGATACTGTTTGTTGTGATGCTTCGTTCTACAGTAATCTATTTCCGGAGGAATGTTATAGATAAATAGACGAGGTAGACCCGTAATCAGTTGCTTTAAATTTAACGATATTCACTAGCCTGCTTAAAACGTACTGTATTAGAGCAAGGATAACCTACTGTGGCACGGAGCAAGAGAGGTCATCTGCTATTTTCTACTGTTTATTATCTGTCACCAGTCACAGGTTAGGATCGGTGGGGTGCGGACACAGGTCTGAGAAGCTCAGAAGACTTTACAGTCTAAGAGCAGAGGCAAGAAGGGCAGTCAAGTAGTTGCAAGGAGATGTTTGTTGCTGTGATAGCTGGTGGTCTTGGCAGTGGGCACCTGCCTCATGATACTGGTAGACTTCCCTGACAATGGAGATTTTTAGGCGGGCTTTGGTCTACTATTTGCACGACAATAATGGTATCCATTATTTGCACCTCCCTGAATTTAGGAAATCAGTGTTCACTTGTACATAATACAGTTTGAAATGGCATTAATTTGAGACAAGGAAGCTGTTTATTAAAAGGGCTGAACTGCAGCACTGTGACTTTTTTTTTTGCGTAAGAAGCGTATGCACTAAAATAAATATAAGCGAGTTCTCTATAGTTTATAGAAAATGGAGTAAGCCCCAGAGGGCA